TAAATATGCTTTTATTGATTTTTCAATGAGAGAGGAAGGGAGAGAAACATTGATGTGAGAGAAAAACATCAATGGGCTGCCTCCTGCACGCCCCCTACTGGGGATCGAGCCTGCAACCTGGGCATGTGCCCTGACGCTCAATCCACTGGGCCACACTGGCCCGACTCAGCCTTCATTTTAGAGGAACACATCCTTGAGTGGCTTCTTTAAAAAGGGTATGTGAAGGTAAAATCTCAAGACATTGTGTAAATAACTGTTCCCAGGGATTCAATGCTTATATATTCCTGCCTTTGGCTATGTGACTTCCAGTGCCTCCCTGAGGATGCATGTAATACCCCATGTCACTGACATCAGGCTTGGACATGTCACCTGCTTTGATCAATAGAATATGATGTGACATCTGAGAAGAAGCTTTAATAGCTGATGGGAGGTTCTGCTCTATCATCCTGGACCCTGGAACCAGGAACGTAGGAAGACATTGGAGCAGGAGCAGGGCTGTGGAGCTACAGCTACCTGTAATTTGAATAAAAAGACAAACTTTTTTTCAAGGTCCTGAGATTGTTACCTCAGTAAAATGTAATTTAAATGTGTCTGGAAGTGTCATTATTCAGTGCTTCCCATGAACTAGTAGTTGTGGCAGAATACAAAATAAAACATTCCAGGGTGGAATTTTGAAGACATTGCTCCATGATCTAGTTTCCAGTGTTGCCACTGAGAAGTCTAGAGTCGTCGTTAACTGATCCTTTTAAGAAACATTTTTTTCTTCTGAAAGCTTACGAGATCTTTCCCCCATTTTCTGAGGTTCCAAGATCATTAGTCTTGACGTTTGGTCTACTTTCACACTTTGTGCAAGGCACTGGGGGGGCCCTTTCTGGAAAGTCATGTCCTTTAGTTTTGCAAAAATTTCTTAATCTTATTGATTTCTTCCCTCCATTTTCTTTTTTCTGAAATGCCTCTTTTCCAAATCTTGAACTGCTTTTCCTATACTTCCTTGTTGTTGTTTTTCTACTTTTTTTGGACCGGTTTTCTGAAATTTCTCTGCAACTTTTTCCCCCCCGTTTTCACTTCAGCTATCATGTTCTTCATTTCCGAGAGCTCTTTCTTGTTCCTTTCACCTGGGTTCTCCTGAAAGCAGAGCCTGAGACAAAGGAGCCCACATAAGTAGCTTATTTGAAACGTGGTCCGGGTTTAGGAGTGAGGGCTTGGGACGTGCAAGGTAAAGGAGGCAAGACAATAAAGGATGTTTTCCAACTGGGTAGTGCTCGGGACCACTGGTGCTTGATTCTATGGGACCTTCTGAGAAGCTTTATGAGATGAGAACTGCCCACCCAGGGGACAAAAAGTGGGAGTATTAGCTTCTATCCCTCATTGGTCAATGGTGACATCACAGGCTGTTTTCCCTGCATCTTTAGGTTGGGGGGTGCATGAATGTCAAGAAGACTGATGTCAGATGAAAACCATAAAGGAGTGAACTAAGAGTAAGAGACTGTTCTCAAAATCTGGAACTTCTGTATGACAAAAAGCATTTGTTGTTGGCTGAAGAATATATACTATGTCAACTCAAGTCCTCTAGAAAGGGTGTACGAAGACGGATAAGTGTAGAGATTTATTGGCAGCGGGAGTAGGAGTAGGTAAGAACTTCAGACCACAGTGCAGGTCGGACACCTGGGGAGGGCGATTGGGTGGGAAGAGCCTCAAACTGCAGAGCAGCTCTGTCTTGGCATGGGGCACTGGCCACAGCTGGTGCCCCTTCCTGGCTGGGAACAGCCCAGTGTAGCAGTGACGTGAACCTCAGCGAATCTCACAGGTGTGGCAACTGGAGGTTGTCAGATGCCATTTTTTACAGCAGGTTCTTTTTCAAAACATTGAGGTGTAAGTGGCATACAATAAACTACACATATTAGAACATGCATTTCCATGTTTTGATGTATGTACACATGAAACTGTTACCATAATCAAGATAGTTAATATACCCATCACTCCCAGAACTTTCCTCAGGGAAATCACTCTAACCTCAAGGAAACTTACCAGTCACTATAGGCAAGTTGGCATTTTCTATAATTTTATGTAAATTCATTCATTCAGTTTGCATTTTTATGTCTGGCTTCTGTCAGCATAATTGTTTTGAGATTCACCTACCTTGTCATGTGTTATCAATAGTTATTCCTTTTGTTGATGAGAAGTGTTTCTACATATGTATATCACATTTATTTATCCAAAAAACTTTTGATAGACTTTTGTGTTGTTCCTGGTTTTTGGCTATTCGTGAAGGCTACTATGAACAAGTCTTTGTATGGACGGTAGATATATGCAAAACTTTTAAGGAAACTGTCAGTTTTCCCAAGTGGTTGTAGTAATTTACATTTCTACCAGCAGCGTATGAAAGAGTTCTTGTTGCTCCGTGTCTTTGTCAGCACAGGTTTGGTCAGTATTTCTCATTTTAGGGATTCTAATGTGTGTAGTAGCATCTTGTGGTTTTAACTTGCATTCCCTTATGTTAAACATTTTTGTGTGCTTATATGCCGTCTGTGTATCTTTAGCGAAGTGTCTTTTAATCTTTTGTGGGTTTTTTGGGGAAAGGGGTTTTCTTTTTTCTTTTTTTCCATTAATTTTTGTTACAGATGTTTCTTTTCCCCCTATTGACACCCTCCTCCCCATCCCCAGCTTTGTTAAGTCCATTGGTCATGCATATATGCATATAAACTCTGGGGTTTCTCTCTCCCCCCAATACCCATTCCTCTGAGGCTTGTCAGTCTGCACCCCTCCTCTATGTCTCTGGGTCAATTTTGTTCATCAGTTTAGTTCATTATGGCTTTCTTAATTGATTTGAGAGAATGGGAGAAACATGGATGTGAGAGAGAAATGTCGGTCAGTTGCCTCCCACATGTGCCCCGACGGGGTTGAACCTGCAACCTCGGTATGTACCCTGACCAGCAATCGAACCTACCTTTTGGTGCATGGGATGACACTCCAACCGAGTCATGTTGGCCAGGGCGTGGGGGTTGTTTTCTTACCGAGTTTTGAGAGTTCTTTGTATGTTATGGCACTAGTTGTTGGTCTATGACTAAGAGCGTTTATATTCTTAAACCAAAAGGTCCCAGGCCAGGTGCCCTGAAAGGGGAAGCCAGCCCTTCACCAGAGAACATGTGCAGCCTATCAGCAATGTTTCATGGGTTCTGCGATCCAAGAAGAGTGGCTCTTGAGAAGAGAATAAAATGAAATCATTTGAACTGCCAACTGTACCTAGAATCTCAATTAATACAGTGACTTCATTTGGGTTACCTTAGAGTCAGCAGTGTTTGCTCAAACGTATCACAAAACAGTGTGCTAAAAATTAATCCATAAAAGTGTGATTATAGTGTCCAGAAATAGTTCCTGATTTAAAACATTAAAGTTTTACACAGCACTGTGATTTTCAGAATATATTATGATTTGGTATTTTATTATTTATATGGTCTTTAAGAGATTCAATACTTTTACCACTTACAATTAAGTAGTTCTCTCAATAATTTTATTTTGCATAGACACAAATAAAAACAAGTTTTAGATCTAAGGATCCCGCCCCCCCAGCTCTAGAACACTTTGAAGGCAATCCTGTATTTCCCAACTGCAAAAGAAATGGCACATTGAGCAGACAGACATTACCAATAAATAATTGTTCAAGTAAAATGATGAGAGAATTTAAGAGCTGGCTACTTACACCCTTTCCCTGGAAAAACAACAACCGTTAACAATAATATAATAGCTACCATTTATTGAGCTTACTATGTTCCAGGCACTGTGCTAAAGGCTGAACATGGATTATGCCATTTAATCCTCATGAAGTCCTGTGAGAACTATTGCTAACCCAATTCACAGAAGAAAATGGAGGCTTACAGAAGTAAAAAGTAGTAGAGACAAAATTGCAATCTAGGCGGTCTGCCTTGGAACCTAAGTTCTTAACTACTCTGCTGTCAGCTACAAAGGACTCAAGAACCCAAATACTAGTCCCTCCCTTCCTGGTTACCTTCATACAATAGTGTTAAAAAGTGGAAGACATAAATGAGAAAGGAAAAGACAAAAAAAAAACCCTTGTGATCCCACTAATTGTGTGTGTGTGTGTGGGGGGGGAATCCCACACACCCAAGAAATCCTACAATATTTGATTATTGTCCTTAAATCAAGAAAAGAACCTTGCCATCAACATTACAGCTCAGAGAAATGTCAAGTACCAAGAAACAAACTAAATTTACATACAGTATCACTAGGTTCACTTCAGACTCTATGAATATAGTATATCCTAGTCAAGAAAGCCGTAATTTTTGTGAAGTTAAAAACTTCAAGAGAAACAGTATATATTCATGTAATATTTTATTTACAGATCTCTCTGAAACATGTCAAAATTCATATGGCTGTTAACTTTCCATATTAAAATGTTACTCAACATGACAAATTCCTGACAAATTTCTAACAAAAAAGATTTTAATGTAGGAATCAACACGTGAACATTATTACATTTAGGTGGTAAAATTCAGATTACAAATATAAGATAAAACATAAAATAAAATCATACTTCTGGTTTAATGGAAAACATAACAGTTGTGACCGTCATGCTTAACACCTTGGTTAAGTCAAGACAGAAATGAGGTATGCAGATTGAACAGTTCACATAATCCTTAGCCCTTCTGAGAAACTCAACATGGGAAATATGTGACAAATGTCCTGTAACATGGTAGCTTTAGTCCATCAGTGAATCATTGTGTTTATGGGTTTTGAGCACTGAAAACTAGTCTCAACAAGCTAATACTACTATGGATTCCCTTACATTAAAAATGTAGTTTAAATTTGGAAAGTTCAAGATAAAGCATACTTCTTTTTTTTTTATCCTTACCCGAGGACACTTTTGCATTTATCTTCAGATAGAGTGGGAGGGAGAGAGGGAGAGAGAGAGAGAAACATCAATGTGAGAGAGACACATCGAGTGGCTGCCACCACACTACCCCAACCGGAGCCAGGGACAAACTGCAACCAAAGTATGTGCCCTTAGCGGGAACCAAACCTGGGATTCTCTGGTCCACGGGCCGACGCCCTAACCACTGAGCCAAACCAGCCAGGGCAAAGCATACTTGTTTTCATAATTACTTTTAGATACAACTGAGTCTACACTACTGTGCATAATCAGGTATAGTGCTGTGCACAGTTAATTCTAGGTACCGTAGTTTATATTTGCTGGTCATCAATTGAACAAATTTTATGCCCCCAAAGAAATCTGTTAATCCAGAAAAATGGTTACATTTAATTTCTTTTAAAGACAAACTAAATTTAAGGAATAGGCTTTTCCTGATGTCTCATTTTCAAATTATTGATACAAATTTACCAAAAGAAATAATTACATGTTTTTCTCAGAATCAAATAATCTGCAGAAAGTTTCCAAGATAGACACATTTCTTGTTAAATTTCCAAAAATAAATAAAGGCTTTCTAACTGAAAGCATTTACATTCCTAGCTCTCTAAAGCAAACATTAAGAAACAAAGTACAAAAAATGAATAACCCACTTCATTACATTAAGTATTTTCTGTCCGCACACTTCTTCAAATTCAAAAGATATTTACTTCCCAAGAACATGGGAGACAGTATTCATTTCAAACCATTCAGTCTGTTTCCATGGCAACACTGCGGGATTCCTTGGCTACCATAAGTCGCATCAGTTGACTGTGGAATTTCTCAATCTTCTTTACATCTTGAGCTTGGTCTGTTCTATACACCAAACACTGTCAGAAATTTAAAAACTATATATTAACTATGTAAAAGTAGATTATTAACAATGTACCAAATGTACGATTGGGTAAAAATTTGAGTCTTTGCTACCACTGTATTGCTCTATGCTCTCTGGAGGTCATACTAATAAAATTATACTCAAGTTTCCAAGCCTCCAGCAATTACATTCCTTAAATTTGTCACTGCTATGGATTAAAAACACTGTATGAATTCTCTCAGAAGCTTCTCAAAAAATGACCAGTTAATATGTTAAAACCTGCTGTGTTCTAAAGAGAAGAACTCAAGTCTTGAGCTTTTAAGTAATATAGAAAAGACAGATTAGAGGGGATGTGAGGGTATAGTTTACATTGAGTGATGAGGAGCCACTAAAGGTTTTTTAAGGGGAGTTGTAACAATCAAATTTGCATTTTTAGAAATCAGTCCAGCCCTAGTGGGTTTGGCACAGCGGTAGAGCATTGGCCTGTGGACCAATGAGTCACAGGTTCAATTACAGCCAAGGGCAGGTACCTCGGTTGCAGTTTGTCCCTGGTCGGTGTTGTGTGCGAGGCAATCAGTTGATGTGTTCCTCTCACGTCGATGTCTCTCTCTCCCTCCCTCCCCATCTGAACATAAATAGAAAATATATATATATATATCCTCTTGGAGGATTAAAAAACAAAACAAAACAAAAACACAGTCCAGCAGCAGTCTAGGATGACTGAAGGATGAACTGGATGCGGGGACACAGTCACAACTATACTAATAGTCCAGACAAGTGACGGTGAGATCCTAAACTTAAGAGAGTTAACAGTGAATACTGAGTGTTCATGACAAGAAATGAACGAGGGAACTTGAATCAATAATCCTCAAATGCCTAGAAAAGTGTACGGAATGTACCAAAGGATCAAATACAGGTTTTTCTTTTTAAAATATTTTAAAATGATTTTGAGAGAGAGAGGAAGGGAGGAGGAGAGACAGAAATATTGATCGGCTGCCTCCTACATGCCCCCTATTGGGAATTATGCCCACAACCTGGGCATGTGCCCTGGCTGGGAATCGAACCGGTGACCTCTTGGTGCATTGGTTGACACTCAACCAATGAGCCACACTGGCCAGGCAAATACAGGTTTTTCAAATGAAGGAAGAGTGGACAGAAGCATGAGGGAGAGAAAGGGACCGCACATAATGAAGTACAACTAAAACTAGGAAACAGGAGGAGCAAGTGTGAATTGGTGATGAATTCCACTCCAGACAGGTTAATTGTGAGGAGCAGTGAGGTTAGGATATTCAACTTAGAGCTAGTTAGGAAGTCAAAACAAAATATGTACAAATTTGAAAATAGAGACACACAGGCAGTATTGGGCTTAATGACTGAACAGGTTACTCCACAAGAAGTGGTTTGTAAAGACAACCAAGGACAGAATCTTGGAGAAAGCAGTATTTTTGGTAGCATATGAGTGAAGCAATTAGCAAAGAATGAAACAAACCTAGAAAAAGAAAACAAGATAAAATGAAGCCACAGATGCCAAAGTAATGATTTTCACGAGAGAATGGTTTTCTGTGTCAAAAGCAGCAAAGAGGTCAAGTAAGGTACGAACTGATGAGACTCTGCTGGGTTTGAAAATTAAGCAGCTGCGGCTGAGCTCCCACCAAGAACACTTTCATGCCCTGGAAGGTTTGGCTCAGCAGTTAGAGCATTGGCTCGCAGACTGAAAGGTTTCGGCTTTGATTCTCAGTCAAGGGCATTGTACCTGGGTTGCAGGTTCAGTCCCCAGTCCTGGCTGCGGTCATGGGGGGAGGCAACCAATTGATATGTGTCTCTCACATCGATGTTTCTCTCTCTCCCCCCTTCCCTTCTATTCTATCTGGGAAAAAAAATCAATGGAAAACTATCCTCAGGTGAAGATTAACAACAAAAAGAACGGTTTCAGTGGCACACTGCATGTAGAAAGCAGATGGCAGAGGGTTAAGGAGTGAATGGGATGTGAGGAAGTGACAAGAGTGAGCAGACAGGGAAGGAGAAAGATATAACTACAAAACTTGTATCTTGTGTTCAGATGCCATCATTTCCTTCTCACATGCCTATATGAAAACCTTTACCCCTTATATCCAGCTTTGGCCTTTACATTCCTCTTAAGGTCTGAAGAAAACAATTATTAAACTACACCTGACACACTGTCTTTTTTTTTTTTTTTAAATATTCACCCGAGGATATTTTTCCATTTATCTTCAGATAGAGTGGGAAGGAGGGAGAGAAGGGGAGAGAGAGAGAAACATCGACATGAGAGGGACACAATCGAGTGGCTGCCTCCCGCAGAACTGCAACCAGGGCTGGGGACAAAACTGCAACCGAGGTACATGCCCTTAGCCGGAATCAAACCTACGACTCTGATCCACAGGCTGATGCTCTAACCAATGAGCTAAACCAGCCAGGGTGTGACATACTGTCTTAATGAAGCAAAATTAATTTCTCAAGAGCCTATAAAAGTAGCTTTTAGAATGTGGTTCTTGACTTTGGAATGAAATGCAAAATAAGAATCCTAACCAGTAATCTGCATAAATTTTATAAGTAATTTTACAAATTATTAACTCAAACAATCTGAAAATACGCAACAAATTAAAATGTATACTTACAACTAAATCATCTGTTACTTTAATACACAAACTCCCATCAGAATGCCTATATTTGAGAACCACACGTGCCTGAAACAAAAATACATATTTAGAAACAGAAGTCAGAAGATATTTCTCATAAATAATTTTGTCTTAAAGTTGGCTAAAATGATCCTTTTAGAATAGCCAAAATGTCTTGCCCTGGCCAGTTTGGCTCAGCGGTTGAGCGCCGGCCTGCGGACCAGAGTCCTGGGTTCAGTTCCCGCTAGGGGCATGTACCACACACACAAGTCTAAGTCTAAAGTCACCTTTACTGTAAACTTACTAAAATGAGGTAGAGCCCTGGCCGCTGTTGCTCAGTGGTTAGGGCACCAGCACATGGACCAAAGGGTCTTGGGTTGCAGGTTCCATTCCTGGCCTTGGTTGGGGTACATACAGGAGGCAACCAATCCATGTGACTCTCTCAGGAGATGTTCCTCTCTCCTCCTCCCTTCTCTAAAAATCAATGGAAAAAATATCCTCAGGTGAGGATTCAAAGGATTTTAAAAATTAATAAAATGAGGTAGAATATAACATTTTAGTCCATTCCTATTGCTATGATTGCTTTTTTTTTTTTAAAGACTTAAGGTGGTTTGGCATTTCTAGCCAGTAAAAACACATACTGAAGGAGGTCAAAGCACACCACCTCAAAATAAGCCACTTTGGCATAAGGACTGTTTTGAGCTGAAGGCAATTAGGGCTCTGCCCTTTCTGGCTAAAAGCAGGACATAAATTAACTTCTGTAGAGGTGACATAACTGTTCCCCTCTCCTTTACCAAGAAAAGTTCTTATTTTCATAACAAACTGTACTAAACAATGATTATTTACCACACATTTCCTAGTCACCTTCCCACAAGTTACACCCTCTCCCAGAAGCCCTCAAACCCCCTTTTCTTTTTTGAGCCTCTGTTCCACATTTTATCACCCTTTGATCTTTTTTTTTTTTTTTTAATCCTCACCCGAGGACATTTTTTCATTTTTTGTTCAGACAGAGTGGGAGGGAGAGAGAGGGAAGAAGAGAGAAAGAGAGAGAGAGCGAGAGAGAGAGAGAAACATCAACGTGAAAGGGACACATCGAGTGGCTGCCACCCGCATGACCCAACCAGGGCCGGGGACAAACTGCAACTGAGGTACATGCCCTTAGCAGGAACCAAACCCGGGTCTCTCTGGACTGCAGGCTGACTCTCTAACCGCTGAGCCAAACCGGCCAGGGTACCCTTTGATTGACTGATTATCTATCTATCTATCTAATCCATCTATCTCTCTCTCTCTCTATCTATCTATCTAGTATGTGCCTCTATCTATCTATCTATCTATCTATCTATCTATCTATCTATCTATCTATCTATCTATCTAGTATGTGCCCCTAGTGGGAACCGAACCCGGGACTCTCTGGTCTGCAGGCCAATGCTCCAACCACTGAGCAAAACCGGCTAGGGCTTATCGCCCTTTAAGATAATATATATATAGGTTCTAAATTTGAACTATGTCCTTATATTTCTTTATGAACTCCAGTTCATATGTAATATTTCCCCCCTTGTTAATCTGTCTTTTGTGTCGTTAATTTGCAAGGCCCCAGCAATTAAACCTAAGAGGATAACTAAACAAACACTCTTAGTCACAGAGGAATGACGGGGAAAAAAGGGTGAAAAGAGCAGATTTGGTTAGTTAAGTCCAAATCCATTCCTCAGGAGAACACTTCTACTTTCCCATGGCTCTCAGGAGGTGAACTGAGGTTACAGTATTCAGCAAAATCACATCCTTATCGTGATGGTACAATATGATGCACTATTACATAAAAGCAGAATTCTGCCTTGAAAAGAAGTTTCCATCAACAATTTTCACAAATCTAAAATAACTCCTATATTAAGTGCCATGCTACACAATACTTTTTGTTGTTCAGTATTACACAGTTAGGTAGCCAGGATTATTTAGATATTAGCATATGTCAATAAAAGAAGACATTTCCCAAGAGAGTTTACAATTTCTATGAACATTATTTTTATTTCTTTAAATGATGGATTCCAAATAATGTATTACAGTCTTTGCTAACCAATATAAATAATCCTTGTTTAGCTGTTTTAAAAAGTGCTAAGTATCTATAAGCCATAAGAGGAATGTAATTTAAAAATGATTACAATATAGCACCTGAAGTCTCTAGACAATTATGCAAACTATCTATGAGATCTGTCTTGGTGAGGGTGGAAAGGGAAATCACCAAACACTTAAGTAGATATAAATAATAACTAGGTTAATTATCTTTGGATTACTTGATTATATTTATTGAACTGTTAAATTCCATTTTAACATATTTAAAAATTTTCAGTTCACCCGAAACCAAATGAAAATTTAAAATGTACTAAGCATGACATATAACAGGGTCCATTTTGTAACTTAGGGCACCTAAGTTACCATGTCAGATACCATGAACAGAAATAAAAGTCAAGATCCCTGTTCTCTCAGCAACTTTGAATTCCATCAACCAAAAATAACCAAAATACAAAAGAGCATGAACTAAGTCCCATAAAGACATACACAGGTCAAATACTAAGAGAAAACAAGTAGTTTAGACTAGGGGAGGAGCAAGTATAAAAAGGTTTCATGGAGGTGGCTTTAGAAGGAAATTTTTTTCTTTTAGGGAAGAAGGGAGGACAGAGGCTAAAGAAGCAGTCTGAATGAAGCGTCAATGAATTCTCCAGCTTCACGAGGCTAAAGCTGAAGATGGCGGAAATGATGGGAGGCAAAGCCAGAAAGACTAGAGAGAGGGTCAAACTGTAGGCTGGAAGTCTGGACTTGATCCAGCACTCAATGAAGAACCAGTTTTTAAGCAGAAAATTAAGAGAATTCAATATTTGTGTTTTAGAGAGTTGTGGTGAGAGAGGAGGAGGGATCAACTAAGAGTTATTACATGATCCGGCAGTAACACCATCTCCAGTTAGAGTGATGTCAGAGAAAACGGTCAAGGTGATGTGTATCATCAATAGGTTCAATGTGGAGGGGAGAGAAGAAACAATTTTGTAAACCAGCTTCAGAGAGTTCTTACAATTTATTTACTTCTCTTGTCCTGGCAGGTAGAAACAGAATGGACTTGGGGTTTAGAGTCCTGTGTTCAAATTTTAGCTTGATCTCTTAGACTATGCATGCCATTTACTGTATCTAAGACTGTTTATTCATCTACCTCAAGGTGTTGTCTTCATTGTTCTTAATACATGTAAATTACACACACACACACACAGCCTGTCACATCAAAGGCACTCAGTAAAACCGTTAGCCAAGCTAACCTCTCCCCACTCATCCCCTCGCCTCCCTATTAAAAAAAAAAAGTAAAAAACCAGTAGAAGGCTATCATGAAAATGCAGAAGTTTTTAGGCCACTGGCATTTTCTGATTGGGTAAAGAGCTGAAGTTTTCTCTCGCCTGCTTATTCTAATCATACTTTGTTCACAGCAGTGCTTTGTAAGTAGCATTTTATTTTCATTTTCCCTAGCATGACCATCACCACGTTTAAATAATATGATTACTGCCCCGGCTGGTTTGGCTCAGCGGTTAGAGTGTCAGCCTGTGGTCCAGAGAGACCCGGGTTCGGTTCCTGCTAAGGGTACATACCTCGGTTGCAGTTTGTCCCCGGCCCTGGTTGGTTGTGCGGGTGGCAGCCCCTCGATGCGTCCCTTCACATCGATGTTTCTCTCTCTCTTCCTCTCTCCCCCTCCCACTCTATCTGAACAAAAAATGGAAAAATGTCCTCGAGTGAAGACAAAAAATAGTAACAAAAAAATAATATGATTACTCTTGATGGGAACTTGTATATTCTTTATTCTCTTTTTAAAAATATTCTTAGCCCTGGCCGGTTTGGCTCAGCAGTTAGAGCATCGGCCTGCGGTCTGGAGAGACCCGGGTTCGGTTCCCGCTAAGGGCACGTACCTCGGGTTGCAGTTTGTCCCCGGCCCTGGTTGGTCGTGCGGGTGGCAGCCACTCGATGTGTCTCTTTCACGTCGATGTTTCTCTCTCTCTCTCTTCCTCTCTCTCCCTCCCACTCTATCTGTACAAAAAATGTCCTAGGGTGAGGATAAAAAAATATATATATATATATTCTTAGTTTATACAGTAGGTACTTCTGGACAAAACAAAAAACCTGTATTGTTCTCAAGATACACTGCTTGAATGAAGAAACAAATGGTCCCCTGAACAAGACAAGTCATCCAAATAGAGGAGCCAGAAATCATGCCAGAAACAAAGTATTCAATTTGAAAAATACCTAATTCATTTGATCACTTATTGTTATTATTTTATTGTAAAGAATGGCACAGAATATTCTACAACTTCTTTTTACTTATCAAGGTTTAAAAAGCTGGTAAAATTTTTAGTTAATGAGGTGTTTCAGATAATTTTTATTTTTATTTTTTTTTTTTTTAAAACAGGTATCTTTTTTTTTTTTTTTTTTTTTAATCCTCACCCGAGGACATTTTTCCATTTTTTGTTCAGGTAGAGTGGGAGGGAGAGAGAGGAACAGAGAGAGAGAGAGAGAGAAACATTGATGTGAAAGGGACACATCGAGTGGCTGCCACCCGCACAACCAACCAGGGCCGGGGACACACTGCAACCGAGGTACATGCCCTTAGCGGGAACCGAACCCGGGTCTCTCAGGACCGCAGGCCGACGCTCTAACCGCTGAGCCAAACCGGCCAGGGCTCAGATAATTTTTAGATATGACAATAAAATAGATCTTAGAGTTTTAATAATGAGCTAACCTCTGGCATCCACTTATATTCTGTGGGTGCCTTGAATGAATCCACAAGCCCCCTAAAATTGTTTGTAAACCTTTGTTTTAGTGCATTTTACTGAAGAAAGGGTGCGAGCATTCTTATATTCTCAAATGGGCACGGACCACTAAAATATTAAGAAACACTATTCTAAGGGGAACAGGTACTTCCACTTTTTTTTTTTTTTCAAGAATGTTTCGGCAGTGGCAGACAAATATTAGTTTTATTTTATACCCTGCCCTGGCTGTGCCGGAAAAGGGCGGCCAGACGAGGGACAGGAAGCCGAAGATGCGGGGGGGAGGAGCCCTGCCCTTAGAGACACGTAAACCAACGAAAGTCCTCAGGGAAACTCGGGGATTGAGGACGGGGAAAGGCCGAAGGTGGAGCTGCTCAGGGCCCTAAAATTATACTGATTTTTGCCTCTTCAAGGCCTTACCGAACCGTTCATCAGAGTGGAGCCAGGAGGAGGAATCGGACTTGGAAGGGTCCTCTGGGCTCAATCCCAGCACCTCCCAGGGTGCTGAAGATGCTCCGGAGGGCGAGCGGACGACGGGGGAGACACCCTGACCTGGGGCTGGGGACAGGCACCGGCCCCACCGGCGATTTACCTTCATAGGGTCGGCGAGGTAAAGCTTCTCGGCCGCGCGACTGAACTCCTCCCAGGTCTGGTACTGCGGCATCGTGGGCCCACGGCGGGGAGCGGGCGACAGACGCAAGGCCGGGGCCAGAGGTGGCGGCGCGACCCAGCCCACCTACCTCCCACCGCCACCAACCGACACAGGGGCCCGACAGACCAAAGATGGTGGCGGCTCCTCGCACCAACGCCTCGTTTCATTGGACAGCCGGGATCGCCCTTGCCCAATGAGAAGTGGGATTGTTACCAGTGATGGGGCGGAGCCCCGAGCGTGTGACTGGGAGCTGGCCCAGAGAAGTCGAGCGCAAGCCGACAGTTGGCGGCTTCCAGGGCGCCCCCTGGAGGGTCGGAGGAGCGTCTGCCCCGCCGCCTTGTAGGCGGGACTTCAATGGTAAAAAGCGGAGGTTCCTTCAACAAAGAGGGAGCTGCTCCCAGATAGGTGCTGGAGATACAAGAGAGGAGATGACAGGGTCCCGCTTTCACACCCACAGCCTAGTAAAGGAGGAGGGAGACATAAACACAAGAGTACAACGGAAAACCCTATTTTACTTTTTAAATTGACTTTATTGGGGTGACATTGGTTAATAAAATTATACAGCTTTCAAGTCTACGACTCCAGAATACATCATCTGTATATTGCATTGTGTGTTCACCACCGCAACTGAAAACTTTATATTATTCATGCCAGGTCATTGGAACACAAGAGAAGAATGATCACGTGTAGGTCTGGGGGTGCAGAAATGCCAATAGTAATTGCACAAGCTGAACCTCCATAAACACGGTGGATGTTCAACAGGTGAGCAAGGAGAGGAGGAGATCTAGTTCCATTTTAGATCTGCTGTGCATGTAATGTGACCGGTATTTAGGGAATGGGGAGAGAAGAAGCAAGGAATGAGACCATATCATCACTTATGCCAGGATAAGAAATTTGAACTTGGACCTTCAGACAATGGGGTGACAATGGGGTATCATTCTTTCTTTCTTTTTTTAGTAAATCCTCACCCTAGGATACCTTATTCATTGATTTTTAGAGAGCATGGAAGGGGGAGAGAGAGAAACATCTATGTGGAAAAGACATCGATTGGCTGCCTCCCGCATGCGGGATTGAACCTGTAACCCGATATGTGCCTCCTATATGGGAATCAAACTCAAGACTTTTCAGTGCACTGAGCCACACTAGCCAGGGCGAAGGGTATCATTCTTTAATCAAGTTTATTGAGACATATTTTACATACAATAAAATGTTTGGTTTTAAGTAAACAGTTTATATGCATTTTGACAAATGTACCCATTGGTATATACCCATATGCCCAATACCATAATCAAAATACAGAATGTTTCTTTATCTCCAAAACGTTCCCTAATGTTTCCTTATATTCGATCTCCCTACCCCCACCCCTGGCACCAGACAATCACTGATCTGCTTTCTGCTATTGCAGATTAGTTTTTCCTGTCCACTTGGGCTTTAAACAGATTGGCATGTTATAAGGCTCCGGCTGCACACCAAGCCTGGCAGCAGGGAGACCTCGTAAGATGCTCTTGCAGTGATACCGGGATAAGAGACCATGGATCGGAAACAAGGCACTAGCTTAGGAATTGAGAAGAGGGTACAGATTTGAGATTTACTTGGTGAATGACTGGATGTTGGGAGTGAAGGAAAGGAGAGTAGAGAGTGACTCGTAGGTGGAGGCCACAGTTGCTGGAAGAACAGGTTTGGGGGGACACTGGGGAAGAAATTCCAAAAATATGAAAAGTTCTGAAAAACCTAAGTATCTTGGTGGCTTCTTTGGTGGAAGACATGTCTTGACTTCTGGTGAGTGCTTTTAGTCTTGATTTGTCCCACTCAGTGTGTGTGATTACAGGGTGGAGCGCGGTCTCTGTAAATACCGCTCGGGCACCACATCACCTTTCTGGAATTCCAACAAGCTGTGAATTCCAAAATACAATTTTGGATAAGGGAGTATGGATCTGTGTACCTCTCCTTTACAGGTAATGAAGAAACCAAGCCTGAGAAATAAATTATACTAAACAGATTGGCACTGGACTTTGCTCTCCACTGTCTGGCAAGTGGCAAGCCAGCACATGTCGATCACAATAGGAAGTGGTGGGATTCATTTTGATTTTCAGAAAGCGTAATTAGTGTTAATAACGGAAGCTGGATTAGTGGATAGAGCTTGGGTGTAAGGTCAAAACTAAAGGCCCTTGTTCTGTTCCCTACATCCGTTGCTTCTGTGATTGTTTTTGTGTCCTTGCCATCCCACGATGGTGTCGTCCACTCTATCCACCCCCTGCCCCCAAGTGCAGCTGCTTTCACTGAGGTCACCAATTGCTCTCACAGGTCACCACTGACCCTCATGTTGCTCAATCCAGCAGTCAGCTCTCGATCCTTTCTTGACTAGATTATTCAGCTGCATCTGAGGCCACTGGCCGCCCCTTTGTCCTTAAAACTTCCCAGGCCCTTGGCTTTTGGGATCCCATCTTCTCTCCTCCTTCACCTGGCTGGCTTTTTCTGCTCTGGCTCTGCCCTGGCCTCTTCTGCACCCCCTGGTCCTTCAGACTTCAATTTCAGCCTCTATAGTCCGTCCTGGGTTCTTTCTTCCCCTTCTATGCTGTGCGACTACTGGATTTCTGCTTAGTCCAGAATTCCTCCCGGAGCTTCAGATTCATGTATCCAAATACCTGCCTGGCTCGGGACTAACCCCAGAGTTTAATTTCTTAGCACATTGAAGCAATTCATAAGCAATAAGTGTGATGCCTCCATTTGTACTTATTTTTCTATTGCCGTTGGCAAAGTAGTAGCCACTCATATACTATATTTCACAGCCAGGAATTCAATAACTAGGTATTGCACACCTTTTATGGGTCAGTCACTGTGCTGGGCAAAGTGCTTACAAGCTAACGAGGTCAGGGGCAGAGATAGTAAGGCAAATTCACAAATACCTGTCATTGAAGACAGATTCTCACGGTGAGGGAGAGTGGTCTCATCCGCAAGGCTTGGCAGTGCACGTGTTTCTTTTCCTCCTTTATCTTTTCCCAAAGGAGGAAGCTTTTGTTGTTGTTACGGTAGAAATGGCTGACTGTTTTTGAATTCTTCTGCTTGAAGCTTTTTGTCCCTTTTTGTTTTTTCCCAGTTGTCTTCTAAACACTGTCGATGCCATAGCTGTTCTAGACGCAGAACGAGGATAGGTCTTTAAATGGTTTCTTATATTAATAACCGTGATAATAGTTCACGGTTAGCATGCCAGGAGCGTTTGCACGCATTAAATATTGAGGGACCCCACTATGTGCCAGGAGTCAAAGAAGCCCTGTTCCTCTTGTCCCTTCCCAGGTTTCATGGATTCAATGCTCAGCAGCCAGGGTGAAACAAACCTGGTAAGAGTAGCCTGCCAAGAAACCGGTTTGCCCAGTAGTTGTGCCCAGAATGGGGAGGGAAGGAAACCTGAGGGCACTCGGACGTGCAGCGGGTCTAGAGGCAGCTTTGGCCCAGTGTCCAGCGGGGGGCAGTGGCGTGCAGACAGTCACTTGGAGCCGAGTCCCTGAAGGCTGCTTTCCGCCTTTTCTGAAGGAAATGGTCCCCATGGAGCACAGACCCCTAGTTTAGCTGGGGAAGTTGTTGAGTTTGGTTGCCTTTTGCTCCGTCTCTTCTTTCCAGACAAAGCCTCGGCTCCTATTTGATTGCCAGGAACTTCCCAAACGGTTTAATTCATTGCTTCCTCGTGAGTGCCTCTTCCTGTGAGCCCTGTTCCCAGGAGCTGCAGCGAAAACAAAGATGTGCAGACGCTCACAGGCTGAGAGCAGAGCAGCGTGCAGGGCAAGGCACGTTTACAAAGAATTAAACTGAAGGCAGCAATAGGCTCTCACGGAGCACCTACCACAACAGGACGCAGACCCTGGGGATGCAAGCAGATCTGAATATTCCCTGCCTTCCCAGTGTTTGGGGGTGGGGTGGAGGTGTGACAGTATGAAACGCCACAAACAGTTCCCCCTGGTGTGGCTGGGAGCAGCCCAGAGCTGACCCCAGGGATCCACACTCAGCTCTCCCAGATTCTGTGACCTGAAGCCCTGGAGTTGCTTAGGAACTGTAAGGATGAGGACTACCTTGAGGCTGGGGGTGGAGTAGCAAAGGGAGGGAAGGGCAGAGGCAGAGATGGGAGTCACCTTAAGACACAGACCGCCCTCCCAGGGCCCCATGACTAGCATCAGAGGTCAAAGACTGCCTTAGCACCTACGAAGGCATCCCCCAGGTGCCTCTCAGAGCTGTCTCTCCTTGTCCCAGTTACACCCCACTCCAAGAATGCTGACATTTCCATACTTTAGGCAGGTAATGATCCCTTTAAGGTGAAACAGACTGGAGCAGAATGAACACACCTCAAAAAACAACAGGGGAAAAAAAAGCCTTGTTTTTTCCAAGAGTGTTGAGAGAGAACAGGCTCCCACTGAGCCTTGGGGATGGGAAAGGCCACCCTCAGTGCTGCCGAAAGCTGGGTCAGGCCAGGTCACACTGCCCAACCCGGGTGCTAGGGCCAAAGGACAAAGGCTAGGGCACTGAGATTCCAGAGGCTCCTGGCTTGTCAGTTTCATCTGAAACTGATTAAAATGAAATGCAAACCCAAGTAACTGGGAAGAAAAGGTCAGGATCTTACCCCCACCTGTTCCCTCCCTCCTCCTCAGCACTCTGTGCTCTGGCCTGGGTCCCATCTCTGCTCAGATTTCCCACATGCCCATAAATCCTGGAGAATGGCCCCATTGTAGAGGAGACAAACCAAAATAGCAGCATCTTCTGTTCTCTGCCTTAGGGAGATTCACTTCAAACCCCAAAGTCCCAGATGTGGACAACAATGGACGTTGTTGTTGCAAATTAGCGATCCTGGAACAGTTGAGAGGCAGGTAGTCGGAAAACAGCCAGTGTGATGGGTTGGGCTGTGCAGAGAGAACAATTAGGCAGTCACTCCATTAACCCAGTTAATTCACTGGCAGGAATTCTGTTCATCACCAAAGACAACACAATGGGGAAGGTGGGGAAGGTGGGGAAGGTGGGGAAAGGGGACAACCAACTGGTTGGGGGTGATGGGGGCTGAGAGGGGGAAGTGGGGATAGGTCCTGGGGCCCAGATGCTGGGTCCAAGGTGCTAGGAATGAAAGTTCAGCTATTTCTAGACC